TGAACCCTGTTCGGAAATCGGGCTTGTTCTTTAATTAACGGTGCCAAGTCTTTCGGGTTAGAGTTGAGGATCATCGGAGCAAAAACAAAGACCTCGTAGACTCGTGAGAGGCCAGCGTTCTGGAAGTCTTCAGCATCGCCGTTCTTGAATAGAAGAATCGTCGAAGTGCTGTTCTATGCTTGTGGCGTCTTCTTCAGCCCGATGTACTCTGTAAATCGTGTGGCAATTGGAAATGGCATTGAAAAGGACACTAATCCTGATTTGAGTCGCTCCTGCCAGGAGATCTGCCACTCTTAATATTTTTAATTGCCCACTGCTTCGTCGCAGGAGACATCCGGGGCATTTTGCAGCAGTTTCAGATTTACCTCTACCTTCTAGGAGTACAAATCATTGCAGAACTACTTGCAGATCACTTTCTTGCGACAGCGATCTTGGGTTCTGGTTTCTCCTTCGTCCTTTAGTGCTACCGGAATCAGCTTTTTTTTATAGAGATGACCTTCCAATGTGGCCTTTCTTAGCTTTGTTATCCTGTACTCGCTACAGTTGTCCTGCATATTTTCCGTATTTCTTTGCAGAACAGCATATCGGCCTTCATTTTAGCTCATTACAGGTCATCAAGCAATGTCATTCCTCATTGACATCGCTGCTTGACTGAATGACCGGATGGTAGATTTGATTGTACCAATGAGGCACTTCGTTTGTCAATTGCGAGGTTCAGCGGAGGACACAGAATCTGATATTCGTCCAACGGCCCGGTGCTCTATGAGCCCTTCTAACCTGATCTTCTTTAGGGCATCTATTGTGACTGTAAAGCGGAGCCATCTCTACTCTGACGGTACTTTCTCCAAATGAATTTGTCGTTACTTGCTTTGTGTTCGTCCTCACGTAGTCGATTTGGGTTAAGGGTCATTCCATTAGTGCTTCTCCGCGTCTTCTGCCGCCTCTCAGCTCCACCAAACATCATTCATGATGTGCAGGCGATTAATTTTGGTAAACGCTACGAATCGGGGAGGGGGGGGGCACGTTTGTTTCGCTCTC